CCAACGCTTTCTCAATGCTTTTGTCTCTTACAGCAAATAGCATGAGGTGCTCCTGCTGAAAAGTACATCGACCCAGGGCACCGTAACAAAACGGGCAAATTTACGCCAGCACCGGTTATCCAGAAAAGCTTGTCAATGAACATCGTACGCTGTTAACTTCAGCACTTTTATACGGTTCTGCAGACAATGCGTCATCCCACCCATGTGTTCATCGCCGTTTCACCCACATTTGAAAGGCCAGGTAGCAATATTCGTGGATAGCTGCAGGCGTGCTCCCCTCAAAGCAAAAGTGCAAGGACGTATAGAGGAGGTGATTGACCGATTGTGCTTTCTGCACCAAGCAAAGCCAAACCCACAAGGGCGGCACGCATTTACGCCAGCAGAAACAATGATGGACAGAAAGCCGTGTTAGACATTTCAGGCCATTCGACCAAGCACGTTGCTCACTGTTAACGAAAAGAACTGCAGAATGGGTTAAGACTTTAGGCGGCGAAAATGGGCTAAGCAACGATAGTTAATGCCTGGGCAGACAGTGTTAACGCGGGCCTGCCGGTAGGTCACGCAAATTGGACACGTGGCACAATCAACAGCTAGCGTGGAAATGTCAGATAGGAACCGATCGAAGTGTCGTAGCCTTGAATTGGCCATAAAGCCAGCTACTGCCAGCGCGTTACCACCAGTGGAACTAATGCCTGCCGAGCCTCCGTTTGACTTGCCAGTGGGAAGCTTCCACCTGCCAAAGAAGCCGATGGACGACGGCTGTCATTTCAAACAATGGCTCTGCACGGTAGACCCCGAGGGTTACTTCTCGCGTACTTCAGCGTTGGCAAATACCTACAGAATTCGTGCACCATCCAGGAGACAACCGGTTAAGCCAAAGTTTTCACCAAACACCGTAGAGCCGAAATCCGGAGTGGAGTTGCTCTGGAGCAAAAATATTTCCCGGAGGAACCATTATTTCAGTGGTTCACCGGTTGCAACAGACACGCATCAATTTCTAACTTATTAAAGTTTACCAACACCTTCACGTTAATGACAGCCTTCTGCTGCTTGGCTGGATCAGGGTGTCAACACATCCTGGAAGTTGGCCCTCTAATTCTAGCAGTGGAATCTCATGAGGCGACCTACAAATATGACCATGGTCTGCCGCATTTGTACATTTTCAGTTTGACTGCCGTTAGCACGTTATTTTGGACACGGTTGTTTTTGCATTTACTTTTGTTTGGGTTTGACGTTTGCTTACTAGATTACACGCAAGTTTCCTACCTGCGGCAAGTGAGAAGATTTAACCAACTGTGGTCCAGAAGTTCGCACCGACCCACCGAGGCGGACACGGTTGAGGTCGAGGAATACAACTATGGATTGCCGATAAATATGACTTTGCTCCTCCATTCGAAGTTAGTCTCGGTTGGTACAGCCTGACTGGGGTACAGCGGTCAACGGATACGTTTGGTTGGACACAATTGCCGACAAGGCTAGGAGCCGGTCTTAGTTAATTTTGTGTTGTGAATTTCGTTGTACGTTATCCTTTACATTTCCCGTGCAATTACGACCTTATATTAAATGCATAATAAACTGGTAAGCATTTTATTATTTGCTCTATGAATTTTTTGTAGTGGACTGCGGTACATTAGTTGTGCATTGTTTCTCACTCTCAGCTAACGTGTATTGATGAGGCTGCTAAACATTGGTAGTCTGTAGTGCCCTAAAAGATGACTGCTCTCTTTCATGTACAATTTCATTGTTGACCGACTATACATTACTCCTTGTTTTAATCTTCCTTACAATCGGCTCGTCAATCGACAGCCATGTAAGTTCCCGCGCTTACGTGTACGCTCTCGCCTCGCTTCATCCGTCCGCTTCTTATTGTAGCCCATGGAATACCGTCCGCTGTGTCCGACTCCGATTACCTTCTGATATCCGCGCTTACTTTCGCGCACCGTCTGGGACTAGCAGCAACTAGTTCTACAAGTCTTCTGCACTCACAGTTTCACTAGTTAATCGTGCTCATCGTCTAGGAGAGTGCGGCACTGTAATAGAATTGAACAGTTAGTGACAAACCAGTGAGTAAGGAAATAAGACCTTGGAAATCACCCTGCTATTACGCTTGCAAAAACTCATAGACGTTTATGAAAAATCGTAAAAATCCTAAAACTTTTGCTTCAAGGTTTTCGCCTAATACAAAATAGACCCTGACTAGACATTTACGACTTTTAACAGCCAATCACTGTGAGCGTATCAATGTTCGCATAGCTGGCATATTATCTTTATCATTTTCTTTTATTCCGCGAGCGCCTCGCAGCTTTTGAAGCGTATATCTCGGTACATCAAGGTTTCCAAAATAACTAGTTCGCCATTGGAATCTGGGATGCGTAGAGCAATGGACCACACATGCTCAACCACCTTGAGGTTTGAACCCTGCTTGGTCAAATGTTCGCCTTCTGTGCTTCGCTGTTAAACGTCTTAAATTCTGCGGTTAACTCGCTTTCGCATTCTGCCAGAATTGCGCAAAATATCCTAAAATGTTATGCTTTTTCATAAGACATTTCTAGTTGGGCAAACCTTATTCGTTTCTGAATAGAGACCAGAGCTGAAACGGTAGCGAAAAGCAGTAAGCTGGTGGCAATAATCCACTTGCAAGGATGAGTAATACCACACTCTACCTAACTGATATTTGAAAGGACTCGTGTAGTAAATATAGGTTGCGATGCGGAAGCAGCAGGGTCTGAAAAAGCGTCATTGAAGTTCGGCAACCTTTTGTTAGTAACGTTTTGCGCGCAGAATAGGGTTAGCGTTTACACCACGCTTTTTCTAGGACAACGTAACTGCGCGCGTTGTTGATGTTCATGTAGCGAAGAAACTACAGAAGCGCTAACGAACAGCTCAGGAAGCTACGAAAACTGTTAATCCAACTTGCGGTGATTACAGAATGACCGAAACCAGCCATATTACTCGAAATGACACGTAATCCGAGGAAGCGATGAGTTGGCTGAGAAGAAACTAAGTACCAGCGCCAAACAATCACGGCCTCATCAAGCACAACGAGCCACCATGGAACATTGCGTGGTGGAAACCTTCCACAGGAACTCCTGGCACTGGCTGGCGGTTCCGTGCATTGTCTGAGACCTGCTTTTACACCCACGGAAACTTTGCCTGGATCGTTTGTGCAACGGTATCTGTCAATGCTGACCCGCAAGTACGTTATGATAAGGACGATGCATATCTAAAGGATTGATCGAGGATCTTTTAGACTTTGATAGACAAGGTGTTCGTATAGAACGAGGATTGCGGTTAGGAAGATGGACTATAAACAAGTATCGTCCTTTGCGAATCCCCTTTGAAGACCAAGTGACTGCTACTCATCTTAGTTCCAACTATGGCGTCTAAACGTTTTTCAACTTAACCTTCTTAAAGCCCATACATTGGAAGAACCCAACTGATTCGAACTGCCCCCATTGAGCTCAAGCAACTGACCCAACCGGGAGAAAACAACCTACAGGTCGCAAATTGTTGAGTAGTCCTTAAACATCAGCTGATAAACAGACAGATGCTAATAATGGCGCGCTTCCGTCGCTAGTCGGCTTGCTCATCGTAGCGCTTCTATACCTTCGCGGTCTTATAAATAATCTTAGCGAGGTACTTCTCTGTGTAGAACACCATTTTCCACACAATTTGTCCGACCGAAACGTGCTCCAGGCTGATATTACTGATCCTGAACTTCATAGCATTTAGGTGCAAAAGACCCATAGGCGCTGACAGCTGCGTCTTGTTGTTCATAACATCTAGCATGCCAGGGGTACTCAAGTACAAGCACCGTGGTGATGACGGCCTATGAAAGCACTGTTGGTGCAGAGTAACCGTTAAGCCAACGGAACTGAACGTAGAAGCTATATATCCGAACTGGTCGAATATTTCCGGCGCTCGGATTGATATTGTGCAACAACATTTAAACTGCCGGCTTGTTTGTTTTTGGGTAATTTTAGCTCCACATACTGCTTGGCTACAGCACCAAACTGCCGGGCAGTAGCTTTCTTGAAATTACTTTTTGATGTGTTGACTAAAATGAACGTTATACAACACATCCAGCAAGCAAAAGCCAGCTTTATGGGTAACTTGGTTGTCTTGGTCTCCTAATTACAAACGGCAAGCAACCGCTCAAAAATCTGTTACAATATTCTAGCGTATTGGGTCCAGTTATAACTCCTCTGTTTACTACGTGCTGCGTTTACCATCGCTGGGATCCACACGACCACCCCGCGTAACTTTTGGAAGACTAACTGGGATCGTGTGTTGGGCGAAGCCGAGCAAATGTATTGGACACTGCCATAGCTTGTCAGTGTAGAAGCATGCTGGGAGGAACGGAAAAACGGTGTCTAACTCAGTCAAGTTTATTCCATTTATACAAATAAAGTTTCAGAATAAGCCTTTATGGAATGGTACGAAAATATGGTACTCTAAATAAATAAATACTTTATTCTCGAATTTATAGAGACAAGCAAATCAAGCATGATCAAATTTTACAGGCATTTGGGTTTCGCAACGATACTTTAGGTTCAACTGTGAATAGTGCAAACATTTAAGTACATTGCAACGATAAATGTGGACGGCGAGTACCTTATTCTTGCACTTGTCATAAAAGATTGAAATAGGACTCTAAACAAGTTAGCAGTATGTAGTTATGGGCCGTGACTTTATTCAGTGGCCAGTCCCATCCGCCACATCGCAGTGTTTTTAGACAGGCATTTGTAGCCTTTTTTAGGGTGAAGGCTTACCAAACGAAAACCCCCACGTCTTGAAACGCTGTCGTGAAGCGTTTTGTACACTAATGAACAACTGCGAAGTAGCTTGCGGACTGTTTTAACACTCGGTTATTCGCAGTCAAATGACTTCCATTTTCCTCTGTTGGTTAAACAGATAGTATGGTCAGGGCTGCCATAAGCGCTCAGGCCGGTTGATGATGGCAGCGAATGAATAGTCGCCTTGTTGGGTGTCCAGGTGGGCAAAGTTTCAAAGTTTTTGATGTATGGATATTACAGATTATAAATAATTTCCAAGAGTGTGGAATGATACTAATCGGAATCAGCGACGAGTTGCCTGATCAGAAACTAAGCACCAGCGCTAAAAATCCTGGCATGATCACGCACAACGAGCCAAATGAACTCTGTTCTCGACAAAGTCGATAAGCTGGAAAAGTTGAGCTCGGGCAGTACGTCACCACAACCGCAGATCACTGGCCGCGCTCTACCATCCTCAAGTGAACGATGTCTTATCATCGTGAACTCGCCAGAAGCCACCAAGGACACCTCTGCATAAAGGATGCTTGAAGACCAAGGGTTCCTTGAGCAACTGATTTCTATTTTATTCGATGAAGGTGAATTGGATATCAACAGTATCTCTACTTTCCTCCTGGGCAGGAAGAAAGAGAATCTTTCTAATGTACGCATTCTCAAGATCGCAGGCCAAAGCGAAGAGGAATGCCGACGCGTCTTCCGGCGAACCCCAAGTTGGAATGGTGAGCCTTTTTACTTTCTGAGTGGTCGTACTCCGGAAGATCGGATTAAACTGAAAACAGCTGCTAATGAGCTCCGGTCCTGCCGAGCGAATGGTGAGACAGACCTCCACATGGTGGATTTTCGCGTAATTTGGCGAACACCGAGAACCCGGTAGCGGTCATTTCTCCTCAACCCAGGACAGTAGAGCTTGAGAACGCACTGCTTGTGATTTTTGCCAATGTACGCAGTCTGAGGCATAAACTTCATGAGGTACAGGTGCTTGCGACACATACCCGCCTAGACTTGATGGCCTTCACCGAACCTTGCTTTTTTGCGGACATCATATATTCAGAGGTTTCTATCCCCGGATACAGTCGCTCTCCTGCCTACCGCCTTGGAGAATAATTAAATAAAAGAAGAACAAAAGAATAAAAAGTAAATAGCTAGCGACGATGCAGATTCAAATGGCAATTACTTGTATAGCAACGGAAAGTGTGCATGCCGACATTCTACGAGAGTAAAGGTTGGAAAGATAAGCTGTTCCGGATATGCGCAGAGATGCATGGAACATACGAGAAATGACTGCAGGTGAATAGAAGTCCTGAAGATAATGGCGTTAGGAACGAGGGTACCAGTGGCCCGCAATGTCATTCGGATGACTCCTTCTTGTTACTAGTGTATACCTACGGTGTCACAGATTAAGTCCACAGACAGCGAAGGTATGATACAGATTTTTTAAAAATAAACGTTGGAGAGCTAAAGTGTGGCTCCTAGCAAGCTCCGGGTATGCGCAGTGACGCATGGAGCCTGCGATCACTAGCTGTTGCCAAACGGCGGTGCCAAAGTTAAGACGATCGACAGCTAATGGCGCTAGGAAAGACTATCAGTAGCCTGAGGTAGCCATTCCATTATGACGTTATCTCACTATTGGATACCTTCCGTGTCACAGAATACATCAACAAACTAGCGACGGTAAGTGAGACAGACATTAGAAGAGAGTATAAGATAGAGGTACAAGGAGGGTCTCTAAGCAAGCTCCAGATGTGCACAGAGGTTTATGAAGCCCACGACGAATCGCCGCAAAAATTGAGTTGAAGCTGATAAGCTGAACGACAGATAAAAGTACCAAGAGAGAGAATCTGGTCGGCAACTGCATTCGGATTAGGCGCTGCAACGCATTCTAGAGAAATACCTAGGCGAACCAACGACGAGCTATACACTGTCACTTTTGCCATACGCTCGATTACTACGGCAGTCAAGTCACTCAAGTTGACTTACCACCCTGGTCCCGATGGACTGCCCTTTGCTCTTCTGAAACAAGATGCTAAAATTTCACTCTTACTACTGAACATATGCACGTTATCAATAAGTAACGGCACCTTCCCAACAGTCTGGAAATATGCGATAATTCTACCAGACACAAAGGTGTCTGCCGGCTGGACATTAACAACTACTGCTCCAAACGTCACACGCAGGTTGCATCAACTGTGCTGGAGAGGCTGGTTAAGGAAAGAATGCTTGACTTAGTGCTACCGCCAAACCTCATTAGCAGGTCCCAACACGGGTTCTCGCCGACTAAGTCATGTCAGACCTGCCAGTTTGAGTTCTTGGACTTAGTGCCACGTAAGATTGACTCTGGATCTGCGATAATTCTAAGCTTTCTCGACATGAGGACAGCATTTGGCCGGGCCCCATACTGTGGCCTTCTGATCAAATTTAGATCCTTTGGTATCTGTAATCTACTATTGCTCTTTTCACTTCACATCTGGGTTTCGTACACAGTCGGTTCGACTAGGATACAAGGCTTCAGAAACGAGATCAGTAACCAGTGGAGTATTTCAGGGCCATGTCTTAAGACCATTGCTGTTCCTCCTCTTCATCCACCATATAGCTGACACCTTTTCACACGGTAAACCGTTTCTATTCGCAGTTGACATCAAAGTAGACTTCACATTCGACCCAGCCCACCCGCATAAATGAATCGCCAGTGTACAGAGTGATCTTAAAGTGCTTGAACAATGGTGTGGCCGGTGGAAAATGGATTTCGCACATGCAAAATGCAAAGTTATATCATGCCGTTGTAGTGTGCCTCCCGACGCACTGAAACCACATAGCTCATCCCTTTCAGGGTGCACTGCATTCAGGGACCTTGACTTACCTTACTCCACTCCATTTCATCGAGCAGGTGAGCTATAGCTCCGCAATACCTAGATCAATTATGGGTATGATTTACAAATCGGTGCTACTTGTGGAATCACATCTAACCCTCTACATGCCCGACCAACTTTAGAGTACTATTCCAGTGTGTTTAGCAGCTCAAGCAACAGCGACGGTATAAAAATTGAGTGGCTGCAACGAAAGTTTACCAAACCTCTCCTTGGTTCGTCCACGCTTAGTTATCAATGCAAATGCAAACAGCTTAAACTGGTTCCACGCTGGATACGCAGGCTCATAAGCAATCTCATGTTTCTGTTTCAGGTGATACAAAACCCAGAGGTTGATACAGATTGCCTCGTTCTACAAGTAGACAATGAGCAGTACCCCATACGAGCCGAAATGCTTTTCATTACCCTGCCTAGGGCTTGGTCCAGCATAACTTCAAACCTCTCTACATAGATACGCCATCACATGGCATCGGTTGCCGACGACCATCCGGACAGCCAAGACCACTCCAGAGTTCCGAGTTTCTTTACACGGATTTATAAAACTCACCTCAATCTCTGAATTCCTAGAAGCATGCATTCCTGAAGATGTGCTATGAGAGCATGAACCTGATCGCTACCGAAGGATGACACTACAAGACAATCCCAAAGTTTAGTGCCACCGAAGTATTGGGCATGCAGTCCCGCCTACAACTTCCATTACTCCGACTGAGTTAGTTGTTATCTTCTAATGATCCAACGCCTCTGGATTCCATTACGTGAGGCAGCTCACTTGTGTCGTTTGCATCCATTCTCATTTACGCTATTTTCCACGAATGCTCCATTCGCTTTTGTGTATGGCTGTAGACATATTACTCAAGCTTTCACCTACTCAGCGTGCGTTAGCTCACATCTCACAACTAAGAACAAGTTATTACCCAGCGCGACGTGGCGCCTATGCTTAGTAGTTGCCGTTGCCTCCGTAACTTTATCCAGAGCTGATACGGAAACGCTATTTCTGCTACAGCTGTGACAGGTATTTCCTTCCATTATCGCTCCTGTTGTAATCTTGAACGTTTGTTAGTTTACGCCCACATTGCAGCCCCTTAGCCCATGCTTTCCAACTACAGTGTTATCCCTACCAGCTGCAACGTCTTCCACTACTCCAGTTGCAGGAGTCCAACGCCCTGACTGGCTTGCTTCAGCTCAGTCAATCTCTGTAATAACCTGCTAGCACCCTAACATGATATTTTGCATCTCTTAGCCACGAGGTATTGCTGACAACCTGTGCCATTGTAGGTATATACTAGTGAACAAATGCCTTAATCAAAAGGCTAAACCTGCTCAATCATACGCCCTTTTTGAGCGCTATTATCTGTTTAGCAGCGGCGAGTTTCCTTCGGCTCCATGGATCTCTGCGCATATCAGTAGCTTGCTTAGAGCCACTCCTTAACTCCAACATTTACTCCCTTGCACTGTTTGCGTCACAAATCGGCCGGTTTGGTGACTTATTCTGTGACGCTGTAGGTAACAACTAGTAACAAAAAGCTTAACCTAGGCCAATTGCTAAGGTTTTAGGCTGTCCACTAGTGGCATAATCTGTACCTCGTCTCACCTTCGTCACCTCTTTTCAGTTGCTGTGTGTCATTGGCTACATGCAACTCTGCGCATATCCGCAGCTCGCTAGATGCCATTTTTATCCCCAACTAATTCTCTTGGACTGTTTGCATCACAACTCAGCTGGTTTTGTGAATAATATGGTAACAATGTCAATAAAAAATAGTAACACGGCTTAAACCGAATGCCAGTGCTGGCCAATGGGTTCTCTCTCCTAGCGCCGTTATCTGTCGTTCGCCTTATTTGTCAACGCCTTTTGGCAGCAGCTAGTCGTCGTAGATGCCATGTATCTCTGCGCAAACCTGTAGCGTTGGATGAGCCTCTGCTTTACTCACCAGCCGTTATTTTCCTGGAATGTCTGACTATCTAATCATCGCTTGCTTGTTGATCTATTCATTTCTAATATAGACCTCGACTAATGACCTACGTCTTAAGGAAACGCCTACGTCAGCCACTAATACTCGCCATTATCTCTGTTTAAAAGCAGCTAGTCGCCATAGGCGACATACAACCCTGCGAAAAGCCGGAGCTTGCTAGCAGCCACTCATTATCTGCAACGCTTATTCTCTTGGACGGTTTGCATCACAAATCAGCTGGTTTGGTAACTTATACTGTAACACTATAAATATATAAATAAATAAATAGTTTACCCTCAAAGTTATAGAGACCCATCAAATCAGGCATGACCAAGGTAAATAATCTCTAGTAACTTAAGCCTTAAACTGAACGGCATTGCTGACCAATGCTCTCTCCTAGTGCCCTTATCTGTCGTTCGCCTTATTCTCGTTAACCCCTTGGGGGCAGCAAATAGTCGTGGGTATCATGCATCTGTGCACACATCCGGAGCTTGCTAAGAGCCACCCCTTATCTTCAAACTTTATCCTATTGGACTGTATACATCACAACTCTGCTAAGTGTTGACCCATTTTGTGACACAGCGTGTCGTTGTGTCTTAGCCTCTACGCTATGAACTATCTAACAGCCGTATTGTATGCTTGCGCATCATCCGTTCGCTGTCCTTTCTTCATGAAACTTTCCTTAGCTCTCTTCTGTGGAGCAAATATAACTGCAGTAGTCCGCGCACAGCGCTCCTTTCTAGACGTTCATTTATCTATTACTCGCTACGTCTATAACACCTACTTATAATAAAGTCCAGCTTTCTCACAGGCTTTTCCCGGCACAGGCTTCCTTTCTAGTTGCACAGCTGTCATCTACTCATCTGCAACACCTAATTAATTGTAGTTTAGCTCTCTCACTGGCTTCTCCAGTCTCAGGCTTCCTTAGTTATATCCCAGTGGCACCCCAGCATGATTTGATTGGCTGCGCGTCGATGCGTCTTAGTCTATTATGCTCTGAACTATTTAACAACCTCATTGTTTGCTTGCGCTTCACTCGTCCGCTGTCCTTCTATCACGAAACCTCTCTTAGCTTTCTTCTGTCGTGCAAGCATATCCATGTATTCAGCGCAAGCCGCTGTTTTGCCTCACATTTCTAGATGTTCATGTATCCCTTATTCGCTGTATCGTCTTAGGCATTTTTACCTGCAATCCTCCAGCTCTCGGGCTAGCATTCCCTGGCTCTATCCAGTTTGGTACTATTATCTTAGCACCCTAGCTGCTGCGGTTAGGTCTCATGTTCTGATATCCTCAGCAACCTTAATGTACCCTTGCATTCCGGCAATTCGCTGCCCTTCCGTCAATTAACCTTTCTTAGGTTTTTAGTTCATCACTCCTCTCATCTGGTCAGTACACAGACGCCCGTTAGCTTCTCATTTATAGGTGTTCCTTGCTCACTTACTCTCTGCTATGTTTGCGACACTTACCCATGTATGAGTCCAACAGACTCACTGGCTTTTCCTGGGACAGCATACCCTAATACTATTTTCTTAGCACCCTAGAATAACTCGTTTCTCTGCTTGACGCTACGTATACATTTGTTCCGCACGTTTGCTTTCCTTCAACTGATCTTTATTACTTCACTTCGATCGATCGATCCTTTCTCACCTAGTGTTCTGTGTCCGTTTTTGCAGCAAAGGTTTCCACACTTACTTATGCGGGCTTTTCCCATCTCAGTCGCCCATAGCACTATACTCTTAATACCCTCGTGTCGTCCTTCTGGCTTTATCCCCGGAAGATTTTTACTTAGCGCTTGAATCCTATCTATCCACTGACTTACCACCAATTGACCTTTGAATCTCTTTCATCGCAAGCCATTTATACCTTCACTTACTTATTCTGCGCTCCCTATCAAAGTAGGTTGGCTACCAGCTCTTCATCCACCATACAAACGCCGCTAGTCTTTGAATTCTGCTTTCTGTCTTCCCACGCAATAGTTGCATCATAGCAAACCGCCCCTGCGTTTTTTTGCTCAATGACACAACGCTCTTTATTCCAGGTAGATGGTAGCAACCAACCTATACTTCCATTGCTTTTGTAGAACATTCAAAACACTTTCAGCACAATCGTTGTTGCACATTTTACATAATTTGTCTCCACTACATGTTATACCATAGGACTTTAACAATGTTTTTTTTCACGCCCGTTCTTTTCCGCCTTGTTTGTCTCTCACCTTCCTTTTTCTCCGAGGTCCGGAACTTCTTGGGGATCTGGGATTGAACCGAGAAAATCTTTTTTACCCGGGACAAGACATAACCCACAAGGACCTACAAAGAACATGGCTGTACAACAAATGGATACAACTGCACTCACTACCACGACCGTTGTCCAGTAATGATAGCTGGACACGAGGACTTCACACTCCTGTAAAGTATACATAAGCCTGAAAATTAAGACGCAAAATACTGACATTTTGCTCACCTGGATACTCACAAAGACGAATCTTCGTGAAGCTCTCACCCTCCATGGGTCTCAGCTATCACGGCGGCCCCAACCATAGATACCTGAACAATTAACAGAGGAAAATGGAAGTCAATTGACTGCGGATAACCAAGGGTGAAATCAGTCGGCAAGCTGCTCTGCCAGTTTTACATTAGTGTAAAAACGGATTACTGACGGTGTTCCAAGAGGTGGTGGGCTTCGCCTGGCAAGCGTTCTCCCCATATAAAGCCACAACTGTCCGCTTAACAACACTGCGACGAGGCTGATGTGACTCGCCACTGAATAAAGTCACTGTTCACAACTACATACTGGCAAGTCGATTAGAATCATATTTTAATATTTTTCTGACACGTCCAAGAGTAAGATACTCCCTAACTACATGTATCGTTTTCACTACACATGTAATGCCCAGACTGTTTATACTACGCACGCTAGAACCCAACGTGTCGTCATGCACTGACGACTTTATTCCTCATGCTTACTTTCACAATTTCCAAAGCCTGTACAACTTTTGGCTTACTGCCGGTTACATACATAGCAACGCGTTTGTTGCGAAACATAATTGCATGTAAATGTTGGTCATGTCTGGTTTGGTGTGTCTTGACAAATTCGGGAATATACTGTTTATTTAGTTATTGATAATAACGGATGGCTTAATCCGGATGCCATTGCTGCTTAATGGTCTCTGGTTCCTAGCGTCGTTATCTGTCGTTCGCCTTACTCTCGTCACCTCTTGTTGGAAGCCGCCTGTCGTCCTTTGGTTTACGCCTCTCTGCGCATATCCGGAGCCTACAAGTATCCACCTCCTACCACCAACCTTTATTCTCTTGGGTCGTTTGAAGCACAACTAAACCAGCATGGTGACGTGTTCTGTGACACTCTAGGTAGCGACTAGCCAACAAACGTCTTACTCGAACAGCTCCACCCGCCCACTGCTGCTCTCTATTCTAGCGCCGTTATCTCTATTCAGCAGCAGCAAGTCGCCGAAGGCTCCGTGCATCTCTGCGCATAACAAGAGCTTGCTGGAAGCCACCCATTATCGGTAACTTTGTTCGTTTGCACTATTTGCATCAAAACTCAACTGGTTGTTAACTTAGTTTGTGACGCCGTAGGTATTCACTAGGTACTGGAAACTTAATTCAAATGCCCTTGCTGGCCACTGATCTCTCTCCTAGCGCCTTTAGCTGCCGTTCGCCTTACTCTCGTCACGGCTGTTTGGCAGCAGCTAGTCGTCGAGAATAAACATGTATTTAAGTATTTCGGCTCCAGGAATCACTGTGCAAATATGTAGCTTGGATGACGCCACTTCTTTGCATGCCTACCTTTATTTTTCTAGAAGGTCTGTCCCTCTAATCTTTGCTCCCTTGTTGCTTTATTCATTGACACAGTTGGTATCCACTAGTGACGACTGGTCTTAATGTAACAGTTACATCTGGCCACAGACACTTTCTATTTTCGGTCGCTCGTCTTATATTAGACACATTAGATTGGCTGCTGCGATTCGTCGTAGGCTCCATGCATCTCGACACACATCTGGAGCTTGCTTGAAGCCACTTTTTATCCAAACTTTATTTTCTTGGATCACTTGCATCATTTCTTAGCTGGTTTGATGACTTCCCCTGCGGCACCGTGGGTATCCACTAGTACCTGAAGGCTTAAACCGGATGCCATAGCTGTTCACCGATACGATCTACCCTTGAGACGTTATTTATCGTTTGTCTAACATTCTTCTCATCTCTCTTACTGCTGTGAGTCATAGTAGTTTCCCTGCATCTCTGCACATATCCAGAGCTTCCCATAAGTCATTTCTTATCTCACTAACACTTAATCTCTTGCGCTGTTTGTACAGCCTACCTTTGTTTATTTATTCTGTACCACTGTAGGTATATACTGGTGACCAAACATCTTATTGACTGACTACATTTCGCCAGCGACGCTCTCTCCTAGCGACGTCACCTGTATTTCATCTCACTTTTAGCACCCCTGCTTAGAAGCAGCGAGTGTTCTTAAGCTCCATGCATTTCTGCGCACTTCCGGAGCTAGATAGGAACCACTCCTTATCTCCTCAACCCTTAGTCTCTTGGTATGTTTGTATCGCTTAACCTCGCTGATCTGTTGACTCTCTGGGACACCGTATGTATCCAATTTGATCGAATTTCTTAATTGAGTGGCTAGTTGGCTACTGATGAGCTGTCTACCAACGCTATTATCTTCGGCTGGCTCACCTTTAACAACTCCAGCTGCCGCGATACGGAGTACGCCTCGCGCATCCCTGCACATATTTCGGGACTTGGTAGGAGCCACCCCTTATCTCTCCAGCTTTATTCTCGTAAACTGTTTGCATCACATATGTTTGCTGGTTCGGTGCCCTATTCTGTGACACAGTAGTTGTCCATCAGTAAAATGAATGATTAACCCAAATAGACGTTTTGCCTACTGCGTCCGGTTCCGTTAGCGGCATCTCTCGACCGTCTTACCTTCAAAACCTAATATCTTGTACATACTTACGTAACCCTAGCCGGCTACCATTAAGCTCAGCTTCCTGTCCTCATACACCCCATGTACATACTATTTAGTGCGTGGTCCTCCAGCGTCATCCTCCTCGCCCAATTAGCAGTGTAACTTCTGGTTCCAGACCGAACCCGATCGTGATTATATAGCTGCCTTCTGGTCTCCGGCTGAATTCTAACGCCGTAAGCCAATACCACGTGGATTTCTTATCGGAAGCACACTCTTCATGCTCATGTACCTAACGGTAATTTACTCCGTTGCATTATCAAAAAGCATTTCCGCGTAATATATGTTATACATCGTACGCCAGTTTGTCTTAAATATATGTCTTAAGGTAAGAGGTTCCATGTGCTTGGTACAATGACTGTCCTTTATGATCTTCTCTCGGCCTGTTTCCTCTTGCCCTTTTCTTTGAGGTCGTGAGGTTCCTAAGGATTCCGGCTTAAACTGAGGAACCTCATCCGTCTGAGATGAGACTTAATAACCAAGAAGGAGTTTCCTGAACCATGGCTTTACTTTAAAACCAAACATTTACACCTAATGTCCAGTAAGGATGGCTGGACACGAATTCTTCACACTCCAGATAATATGTTTACTCAGAGAAGGTGAGCCCTCATACGCTAGAAATTATACTTACCTGCAAAATCATATCCCAAGCGACTGGCCTCAAAGTCCATGTTGAGCTCTGCCTGTGCCATTTGTTTGGCCAACAGAGGAGCCATTCGAATGAGAATAACCAAATGAACAACTGACTCATAAGAAGCTTTGGTAGTTGTGCGTGTCTGTTTAAAGCAATCGAAGACAGTGTTACAAGACATGGTGGGTTTTCTCTTGGCAAGCGTTCTCCTCGTAAAAAGCCACCAAATTCCGCTTAGCAACACTGTGACATGACCGATGCGACATGCCACTGAATAAAGTCACCGCCCACTATTACATTCTGGAATATCGCCTATAGTTCTTTTTCAATATTTTACCGACAAGCATAACAGATACATTCAGGCTTCACATACTGTCCCAACTCCACCTACTGCGTTTTTCTATTTACTCTACACAAAGGCAACCATTTTATCGGCACCCCACCGTTGATTTTGCTCTTCAGGAGTGCTTCGACTGTTGCTACAACTTGTACAACTTTTAGTCACAGCCAAGTACGTGCGTTGTAACGTATCTGTTGCGCAACCTATTTGCTTGTACATTTTGTTCATGCCTGAATTGGTGTGACGCGATGAATACGAGAATAAAGTATTTAGTTATTTACTTATACTGTGACCCAGAATAAGTCAACAAACCAGCGAAGGTATGTGCTGCATCAATCCAAGTGGAGGCAAGTTGGAGAGGTAATAAGTAGCTCCTAGCGGAACATGGCAGACAACCTGCAATGACTCGCTGCAGCTGAATGGTAACAAAATTAAGACAATGAACGGGTAATGGCACTAGGAGAAAAGACGTATCGGTGGCTAGTGATGGCATTTGGATGAAACCTTCTGGTTAATATTCTTTGCCTAGAATATCCCAGCCTCTTGAACAACTGTAAATATAGGTGACGCAGACAGTCCCAGAGAGTAAAGGTTGGAGAGCTAAATGAGTGGCTCTCAGTCAGCTCCGGAAATGGGCAGATGTACGGGGCCTAAGCAGAATAGCTGCTGCTAAGCAGTGGTGCTGAAGCTAAGACGATCGAAGGATAGTGGCACTAGGAAGTAGTATGGGTGGCCAGGTGGATCCATTCCATTAAGACGTTTGGTCACTAGTGGAGACCTACAGTGTCACCAAATAAACCAACCTACCAGCGGGTAAGTGTTACAGACATTCTAAAAGAGTAACGGTTGGAGAGAAAGGATTGGCTCCTAGCATGCTGTAGGTTTGCCCGTATATGGTGCCCACGACGACTCGCTGCTCCTGACATAAGGGTTGACGATGTTAAGACGAACGACAGATAATGGCGCTAGGAACCGGAGGAATAGTGACCAGCAATGGCGTCTCTTTAAACCTTCTAGTTATCGGTGACTACCTACCGTTTGATAGAATAAGTCAACAAACTGCAAAACCATGCGATCCAAGCAGTCTAGGATAATAAATTTGGATGTGCGCAGTAAAACAACCGTTACAGTTATTGGGTTGTATACTTGTTGTGGCGGTATAAGATGGGGATATTGCAGTTAGACTGACAGATATTTACGGTGATGGGCTAGATTCTCTCAGTGCTTGGTCGTAATAACAGACATATATATCTGGGGTGAACGA